CCGTGCATCAATATTAAATTCATGGAAAGATGTTCTGAATGTACAATCAGATTTTCATGTTTGTAAAATTGATGCAAAGTTTTTGTTTGTAAAGAATTTCATCATGTCCAAAAAAACAGGCATCATGACCTTCACATCTTTCCCTTAACTCATTTGTTGCCTCGTTTCTTAATAAGAAAGAATAGAGATGGCAATTTTTCTCACAAAATCAGGTTCCGAATGGGACAGGTTTTTCCTGATCTTAAATGGAGAAGGGACAGGGATAAGGTTTTCATATAATTTCTTTAAGTCGTTTTGAATTCGATGATAAATTAATAAAATATCTCTAGACTTAATATTGATTTTAAAATATCTTTAAGTTTTCTCCAAATTTTTAAAATCTTAAGTCTTATAATTTTATTTCTAAAGTACCTTAAAATTGTTATAATTCGATTTTTAAAATATCTCTGAAATTATTATAATCTTTTAAATTATTTTTAGATAATTACCTAAAAAATATTCAAAAATTCTTCATCCTAACAAGAATGAATGCCCAACCCCACCACTGAGGACGAAATGAAAACAAAACAAAGCATCTTGACTACGGGGCAGCCCTGCCTCGAACCTGCCCGTTGCCATTCCCAAGGACATATGATAGTCTACGTGCTTTGTCAATGGCCACAGCTTCTTTACCCTTAGATAGAATTTGTTGCTAGGCTCCAAAATATTGACGGAAACCATGATGAAAGCAATCAATCACTTTTGATGAAAAATAATTTAATTGGATTAGTGGAGGCATCCCAAATGCATGCGGTTGGAATAAAAAGGCCAACAGTTTCCATTGAATTAATACATCCACTGAATTAGGCTGTGTCGCAATCTCCTTTTGCACTGTGCTACCTTTCTTGTGATTTAAAGGGCTTGGGGCCCGTGACCTTTGTGGCTCACTCTTTACCATTTCTTGCTGAAAATTGAAAATAGATTGATATAAACCATGGAGAGTGGAATTGAGCACATCTAATTTTTTTTTTATGAAGGGAATACATCACTAATAAAGAAAACGAAATTATAATAAAAATAAAAAAATAGGGATTTTCTTGCGTATCTCAAATAGGGACGCAAATCGATCCAAATTTGGAACGAATCAAAGATGCCTAGATCCAAATTTGATTTGAATCAAATTCTCTCCATCTGGATTTAATCAAATTTGGAAGTTGAATACCATAAAGAAAATAAACTTAAAATGACAGGAATATTACATATTATTAAATTATTTGAGACTTCGAATCCATGAGAATATGACTCTTTACTTGAATTGATGCCGAAAAATGCATGATACCTTAAAAACCTTTTAACCAATCAATCCGCAGACCAAATCTCCTCAAATAAAAAATCCTACCAACACCTACAGGGAAATATTCCCGATGTGGGGCGGTGGCAGGATGCCATTCTTTTAAGTTATGTTTGGTTTGAAGGAAAAGGTAGGGAAAAGAAGGAAACCTTTACAAAGTTTGTAAAAATTTATTTTTCTTTTCCTATCTTTTTCCTTCAAACCAAATATAGCCTTAAGGTGTTTGTACTTTTTTTAAGAGGAATTTCATCAATCGGTAGGATAAAAATGATAACCAAATCTCCACCTCAGAATTATGAACTCACTGCAAACTTATAATAATTCAAAATTTCAAATACCTCCACCTATAATACCAACATTAATTTCAAGTTGGCACCTACCCCAACTGTACGGTGGAGTTAAGATTTATTGAGGTGGACGGAACAGTAAAAACCCCTAAAGTTTATGAAAAATAGCTGGTATTCATTAAAATTTAGGGAAAAGTACGGAAACACACAAACCACATCCTGCCCGTGAATTTGGCATCAATTCACGGTCAGGATGCATTCCCCCTGTACTTTGGGCCTAGTAAATTCTGATCTGGGCTGATTGATACTTCTCCCTAAAATTTATGGAAGTCTTGGTTGGTCAATGTTTCCATCATCATACTGAAAAGACATACCAGAAAAAACTTGTAACCAATCAACGGATGCTATTTATCTAAATTCATTGGGGTTTTGATTGTTCAAAGCCCTCCCCATATCCTATATTTACCGCAACATAGATTTTAGGGTAAATTACTGAAATCTCTATAAAGTTTTTGTTTTGACCATTGGTAAAACTTCTATTGAAGCTTGGTAATTGCAATCACCTCCCCTAAGCTTTTTGACTATACCTAGTCATGGGTCAGGCTTGGGCTTGACTTTTGTCAAAATTTGAATGGGTTCAGTCTAAGCCCGAGCCCGATATAGCATAAAGTTATGACCGAAGGCTAGCCTATGAACATGTTTGTTTTTGATATAATTGCAAGTAGATCCCTTTTGTTAGAATCCTCTAAAAAGAGGTATGAAAATGTCCAAAATACTTATATGATTACCTTTGACCAAAATGTTTAATTTTTAATTGTTCCCTTCATCCCTAGCCCAAATCCTTTCGATCTCTTTTTTTTTATTGATTTATTTTTAAAATTGCCCTTCATGTCAATCACTCAAAGGTAAAAGCTGCAACTTTAAATTCTCTTTTTTTTATTTATAAAAGTTGTATTGTATTTTCAATAGAAACAAACCTCAATAATAACTGCATGGGTGTTTTGAACATTTTTCTACCTTTTTGTAAGAGGATTAAGGGAGGTTTACTTTGCAAAGTTGTAGCTTTGTTAGAAAGTTCAATAGAGGTGAATGCAATTAAGGGTGTTAATGGACTGGTTTTGGATTGGACCCCATCTAGTCCAAAATCACTTTGGACGGATTGGACAGACCAACAAGACATATTGAATTGGATCAATCCAATCCAAAATATTTATTAGATTGGATTGGACCTGGTCCGTTCGTAACAAATTTATATTGGATTGGGTTGGATTAAGCCAATATCTGGTCCATTGATATAAGATAAGAATATATGTGTCAATGGACTGGGTTTGGATTAAAACCAATCTAAATCAAAATGAATTTGAACAGATTGGACGGTCTAGACATTGAATTGAATTGGTCCAAATTGATCCAAAACATTCATTGGATTGGATATGACCTGGTCCATTTATAATAGACTCACATTGGACTGGATCAGATTGGACCAAATCGAGTGCAATTAACACCCCTAATTGCAATTACCAAACTTTAATGAGATTTCAAAAATTTATCGTAGATTTTATATGAAGTGGGGTTGTCCTTTAATAATTTTAATTTTTTATGAGGTTTTATTTAAGAATATTTTTATTTTATTAAAATTTCCAAAAAAAATCTAAAATTTATATGGATGAAGAAGAGTAGAAATAGTTCGACAAATCTCCTTTTATTTTTATTTATTTACTAGTAGGGAACCCATGCGATGCACGGGAAAACCCAATGTCTAATTTGCTGGTAAAAATGATCAAAAGGATATATTGAGTGTCAGCTCTTGGTAAATTTCTAAAAGTATATATACTAAATTATTGATTTTTTAAATATATTAAATAATTTATTTTATTTTTTAAATATATTATTTACAAAATTACCCTAATTTATTTTTTATTTTTCAATATAAGTTAATTAATAATTTCATTTTCTAAAATTTTCCAATATTATACTAATTTATATTAATAACACAAATAATTTGTGTAATTATTGGTTCAAATTAACGTTTTCCTTTACCAAAACTAATTTATCTTTATTAATTTAAAATGAAAATCACACAATTTTTTAATAATTTTCCAAAATCTTTCAAATGTAATAAAAATTCCCAAATTTTCAAAATATTCCAATGATTTTCAATAATTGTTTACTACATTTTAAAGAAAATTTCCAAAATTACATTAATATATATTTTTATTTTCTTCTCCAAAATTATGATATTTTGTTTGCCAATTTGCAAACTCCACCAACTCTTTCTTGGAGCTATAATTTTTGAATTTATTTTTGAATTTTATAATTTTTAATTAATTTTAAATGACATTTATAAATAAATTATTGGTTGAAAATTTTGTATATTCATTGATTTCTAGTAATTCTTTTGGAAAATAACACAATTTAATTGTTAGTGTAATAAAATTAATTTTAAGAAATTGTAACTATAGTAAAACATTTATTATAATGATTACTCTATTTAATTACTACACCAAAATTCCAATAATAATTATTAGTGTAATAATTATTTTGAAAAAATAATTAATTTAACTACACTAATAATTATTATTGGAATTACAGTTATTTCAAAATTACTGTAATTATAGTATTTTGAAAATAACAAATTTTACTATAATAATTAATGTAACTTAATAATTATTATTACACTAATAATAAAATTACACTAATAAAATTATACTAATAAATTTCTGAAAATGTAATAAGATGGAAATATATTTTAATGACAGGGGTATAAATGGAAGAATGAAATCAGGGTCCTTTGACAATAACATCATCGAGCCATTCTTATTTTTATTAATGGGTAAGATTTTTTTGCTACAGCAATCTCTTTTTAGTTGGCTCGCCTAAAAAAGCCAGAAAAGGAGGGAAACTCGCTAACTAGTCTGGATTTTTCACGTGGAGACCAACGCTATTGGGCAACGTGGCTGGCAAAGAGAAGATTCCAGATGGCTCGCCGGTAATGTCTCGTAGTGGACCGGAGACCTGGATCACCTGGTTGGTTGGCTCCAGTCCGCTTTCGTCAGCCTGAGGTTGTGCGGTTCGAGACTTTCGAGGGAAGGGGGACGGCCTTTCCTCGTTATAGAAAACACGTGTTCTTCAAGCATTTATTATTAAAGTTCTTATGGGTTTTTCATACAGAGGAAAAATCCGCTACGCCTGTGGGAGTAGCCCTGGGATAATGCAATGAAATCACAGCCTTCGATGTATTGCTATAGCCCCACCTCAACGTCGCTTCATCCAATTCAAGCGCAGATGATTTTTCTTGTTTCAGATATAGCCACGTTACACTTTATTATTAACCGTTAGATTAGAATTTGTTTAACATCATGTCCTGTCCAATCGAACGGCTACAAGTTGAGAAGCATTGTCCGAATCATAGTGAATCACGATTCCTATTGTCGTGAAAGTTGAAACGAACTCCTTCCTCTTATCATCTACCAGTTGCATACGGGCAAACTCCTAACAGGTCTTCCATTCTGCAATCCAACTGCCTTTCAACAAAGACGACTCCCGCATTCAATCTTCTCCTCTTCGTTTGATGTTAACGATTCGACCATGAACAGCCTGGAATTAATCCTCTCTTGAGCAGAAACCATATCCTTCTGAGAAAACAAATAGACCGGAAACAATGTCATGAACCAAATTGTCTCTCTCTTGGCTTCGGAAAAAAAAATGTCTCCCTCTCTCTCTAAATCTCCCTCTTATCGTCGTTACGTGACGCTGATATTGGCATGTGGATCCGATCCTGTTGTTTTTTGTTCATAATTGCATTTCGCAGATCAGCGCGTAGGCTCACTGGCGATTTCGACGTTTGAAGCTTGGGTTTTTGGTTAAATGCTTAAAAGGAAAAAGACATTTGATTTGAATGTAAGAATTTTGTTATCTGTTTTGAATTCTATTGCTTCTCAGTCGATTTTGTTGATTGCTTTCTGGGTTTTCTTAGTTTAGATCAAGACGTTGGTAGTTATTGATTTGAATGTATAAAGCTGTGCTTTTTTCCCCTTAACGCACTGGGCTCTGTCTTGATATAGTGTCTTGATTGTTTTTTATACTTTTTTAGTAAAAAAGAGTATAGGAGGAAGAGATGGCGGTGAAAATGGGATCATTCAAGAGTGTTTTTGCAGAAAAAAGCAGGGAGAGGCTACTTTCCAATAAGGGGGGATATTCAGAACTTGGGTTCTGCATCAATGATGGAGTTGATGAAACAAAGGGATGGCGGTGGTGTTGTTCTCCGATAGAAGTAATCGTTAACTCATGGACAACATTGTCACAGTCTGCTATTAAGTTATGGGAGTTTGGTCGTTCCGACCCGAGGAAAGCTATATTCGCGGCCAAAGGGGGATTGGCACTGGTACTTATTACACTGCTTATATTCTACAGAGAACCATTCAAGGATCTCGGTACTTACTCTGTTTGGGCCATTATGACTGTGGTTGTCGTCTTCGAGTTCAGCGTAGGTAGTATACTTGTATTTATACAGAATTTTATTTTGTTCTGTTTTCAACGAGGAAGGTCGTTTCTCTGTAACTTGAATTAGACTGCTTCATCTATCATCATTCAGTCTCGGTGCTGCAATTTAATTCATTCTCATGTTGGTGGTGCTTTGTTTGACAGGATCGACCCTTAGCAAAGGGTTTAATCGTGGTTTGGGGACATTATCTGCTGGAGGTCTTGCTATAGGAATGGCAGAGCTATCTATTTTATTTGGGAAGGGGGAAGCATCCTTCATTGTTTTCAGCATCTTCATTATAGGTCTGAACTTAGCAGTTAATACCAAAAATTTTTGCACTGTGGAAGAAAGAAATTTCTTTATGGCTTCGATTTGTTTAGTCACGCATTAACACTCTTCTCGTTAGTTGTTTAGTCACGCATTAACACTCTTCTCGTTTTCCCCTCTGTTCCTTGTGTCTTCTTTTTCTGGTGTTCAGGATTTTGTGCCAACTTCATCAAAATGCACCCAACGATGAAACCATATGAATATGGGTTTCGTGTGTTTCTCTTGACTTACTGTTTTATAATGGTATCTGGGTATAAAACAAGGGAGTTTGTCACCACAGTAGTGAACCGCTTCATGCTCATTGTCCTTGGTGCCGGTATTTGTTTGGTTGTTACTATATTCATTTACCCTCTTTGGGCGGGTGAGGACTTGCACAACTTGGTTGTCAAAAACTTCATGAATGTTGCTGCTTCTTTGGAAGGTTAGATGTTGTTTCATATGAAATATCTCATTTACTGAGAGGGGTTGCTCAGGTTATCAATCTGTTTCTTGACTTGCTTGACCTATTCCCTCTTTTTTTTTTGGGTAATTTACAGGATGTGTTAATGGATACTTGCAGTGTATTGAATATGAGAGGATCCCTTCAAAAATTCTTACTTTCCAAGCTTTTGATGACGAAGTATACAAGGGCTACAGATCAGCTCTAGGATCTACTTTCCAAGAAGAGACCCTGGTATGAGTTTAACAATGGGAGTTAAGCAGTTCATTTAGACAAATGGATGTAACCATAGATTTTAAATAACTAAACTATACCCATTTCTCCAGCTAGGTTTTGCTGTCTGGGAACCACCTCATGGACCTTATAAAATGTTCAGTTATCCTTGGAAGAACTATGTCAAAGTAAGTGGCGCACTGAGGCATTGTGCATTCATGGTCATGGCTTTGCATGGATGTATACTTTCTGAAATACAGGTGATTGTGCTTTCTGTTTTAGATTTTTTCTTTTTGAAGCTATTTCTAGTACATCAATCTCTCTGCTTTTCTTTTCTTGCCTTTGGGGCTAGGGATTCTTTTCTTTGTGGCACCATGACAAAGTGACATTTTATCATAAACATATGTTGGAAAAAGAAAATGTGTAGTAGATATTTCTTCCCATGAACTATTGTTACTGTCTACTTCGATGGTGCTTTTCGGCCACTTAGTTTTCAGGAGTGGCAAGTTATTGAATTAGAAAGAGTAGGGTATACTGTTATGATTCAAGAAGTTTAGGAATTACAAGATTCCCAAGCCAGATGTGCATTAGTAGAATTAGTCCAGATGTGCATTATTGAATTAGAAAGAGTAGGGTATACTTTTATGATTCAAGAAGTTTAGGAATTACAAGACTCCCAAGCCAGATGTGCATTAGTAGAATTAGTCCAGCCTTTTCATTAACAAATAAAAATTTAAAACTCTTGCATTAGTAGAATTGCAAGATTCTCAAGCCAGATGTGCATTAGTAGAATTAGTCCAGTCTTTTCATTAACAAATAAAAATTTAAAACTCTTGCAAAATTCTCATTTGTAATTCCTTTATTTTTCTTTTATCTAGCCTAACTTTTGAATCTTCACCATCTCCTTTTATTCTTCATAAGGGACTAATACCTTCCTCTCAGTCCCTTGCTTCACGGTCTCACAACTTTATCATTTTCCATATCCTGCTCTTGTTGCAATAAATAGTATATGTGAACTTCTAACATTTTTCTCTTTAAAATTAGTATAGTAAGGCACTAAGGCTGCATTTGGCATTCCTTATTTTAAGGACTTATCTTCTTTTTGCAGTTAAGATGCTCCTATGAACACTCAGTTTTTAACTGCAAAAAGGAAATAAGTCCTTAAAACAAGGAATGCCAAATGCAGCCTAAGTCCTCTTACATGATTCACCTAATACCTTTGTCCCATAAAACAAGGAAATATTAACTAAATGACTTCAAGTGGGATCTGTAAAAGAGAAAATATAAGTAGGTCTGTCTCTTTACACATAACAGAATAAATGTGTATCTGAATGATTTGAAAGAGTATATCCCCAACTTCTCATTTGTTTTTTTACATTTAACACTTACAGGCACCTGCAGAAAGAAGACAGGTCTTCAGCAGTGAGTTGCAGAGGGTAGGTACTGAAGGTGCTAAAGTGTTGCGTGAGCTTGGAAATAAAGTCAAGAAGATGGAGAGGTTAAATCCCGGTGACATTCTTTCTGAAGTGCATGACGCAGCTGAAGAGCTGCAGAACAAGATAGATCGAAAATCATACCTTCTTGTCAACTCTGAGAGCTGGGAGATTGGAAGACGGCATAAAGTCCCAGAAGATTCTGAGGAAATTGTTGGTAGTCTAGATGATGAAAGTAAATTCTTGTCAATAAAGTCACTAAGCGAAGCAGTTCTCGACCTTAGATCAGTGGAGGTGCCAAAAGGCTGGGATGTTCACAATACTAACATGGGTATCAACACCCCTCTGCTAGAAGATGATACATCTGAAAATACCAAGATACAGTTATCATGGCCGTCGCGCTACTCACTCATTGGTGATGGGATGCTTAACAACGAAGAATCAAGAACATATGAAAGTGCAAGTGCCTTGTCTTTGGCTACATTTGCTTCTCTTCTAATAGAGTTTGTTGCAAGGCTTCAAAATCTTGTTGATTCATTCCAAGAGCTTAGTGAGAAGGCCAAATTTAAGGTACCTGTTGACCCACCACCAAATGAGGTTATTGGATTTTGGACCAGATTTTCTAAATGCTTCCTGTTCAAGAATTAAGATCTAATTATCTCTGTAATCGCTATTGTAGATTTTCATAATGAATTGTTTACTGATTATGACTGATCCAGCCTGTTCAACTATCAACTGCAAAACTAACTCTAACTAATGAAAATGAAGTTACGTTGGGTTGGATTCAATATTTTGTGCTTCAAGGGGATATGACTATGCCAATTGCCCATGCTGATGTTAGGACAGAGGATTACATTCCTAATTTTTACCCAGATTGTTGCTTGTAGGGAATTCTTGGCCTCGACCTTCTGTTGGGTACACAGGGGAAGTGCTATCCATGTTCTTTTGTCAAAAAGTATTTTTTCTTAAGGCTGTGTTTGGTTGCAGTGCAATTTTATTTGCACTAGTACAAAAGCATGGGAGTGCAAATGAAAAAAAAAATGCAAATTCTCATTTAAGTTTTACTTTATTCTCCTTCATGTCTTAATTTACTTCATTTGTATTGCAATCAAACAACATAAGCTAAAATTTAAAACAAAAATAGGTCAGAATTTACACTCAAATCATTTGCACTACTATAATTTTGCATTAGTGCAAATTTAGCATCGCAATCAAACACAGTGTAAGGCTCCATTTGAAAGCAGTACAAATACATATATGTAGAGTGTAAAACCTTGTAATTTGTATTATTTTGTATGTATTTGTACCATACATATTTGTATTTGTATTCCTTCCAAACTGAGCCTATTTTGCTATGTATACATATTTGCATTTTGTACACTTTCCAAACTAAGCCTGACTGCCACTTTTAGCCTTGGGTTTTGTATGATGGTAGGGGCATTTTAATCTCACAACACTTTGGTTACCTCCCCCCATGAGAAAGTGGAGATGGGATGGGCTTCCCACAGCCCAATCCCTTTGTGAATTAGGAGCATCTCCCCATGACAGGAATGGGAGAGTTCCCAATGCATGGGGAGATGGATGTGGGGTGCGCTCTATGGGGAACCCATCTTTCCCTTATGAGAAGGATAACACTTAGGCGGTGTTTGGAATCATTGTCATCTCATGGATGGCCTATTTCGATCCACACCATGGGATGCTTATGGTATTCAGTTGCTTGTCCACAACATTTTCACACTTTATTTTGATACAATATATCTCTTCTACATATTTTTCTTTCTTTTAAATTTTTAAGTTTTAAAATAATAAAATTTTAATTCTAAGTTTTTAATATTTTATTAACAAAATAATACTTTTTAATGTTAATTCTAGCATAGGCCTAGCAGTGCTCCTTCTCCACTCTTTTTTCATTTATTTAAATATCAATTATTTTAATGTTTTTTATCAATAAAATAATATTTTTTAATTATTTTACTATCTTTTTTATTAAAATTATTATTTACTAGTTAATATTAATTTATCGATGTTTTTTTTTTCAATTTATATATCATATAAAATGCAAAAATTAGACATTTTATGATCAACTATGTGGAATAAAAAAGTGTGTCCACACCATGCCTACGAAACGTCACTATGGGTGTGGACAGGTCCAGTTCACACAGTTTGTCTACAGTTTAGAACAACCAGTTTCTCATCTACACTACATAACACACCCTTACTCAGATAAATGACCCAAAAAATTTTCTTGAGGAAAATAAATTTTCCATAAATTCTATAGTTCTCTACAAAAGAATGTAGGAAAGTTGGTCAAAACCACCTTCCTTCTTCCCGACAAAAAAGTGAGGCACACAACCAACGAGGCCATTACCAAATGTTGGTACCAGCTATTCAATACAGGTCTTGGGAGAGGTGGGCTGGATATAAAGGCTTAGTTTGAAAATAATACAAATGCAAATATGTACACTGCAAATATATACAAAATAATACAAAATATAAGATTTTGCATTCTACAAATTTGCATTTGTGCTCCTTCCAAACTAAGCCAAAAGTGCAATTTGAGCGGGCAACATTTTTTAAAATTTGAAAGGACCCATAAATGCATAAAGTCTTCAAATTTTGTACCATGATTCAAAGTACCAATACATATGGTGCCATATTGTATGATATGTATCGGTTTTTTTTATAGCATGAAATGAATTAGAGGAATTCCACATTTCCAAACCTTAATATCTTTCCTGGTTTCTTTTCTTATAATAAGGTAACACATGAAACATTAAAATCAGGATGCATTAATGCTTTGAATCACTAGATAAGGTTGTTCAATATCAAGCGTGTCAACACTTTGAACCATGTTGTACGCAATGTCTATGTAGGGGTGCAACTGGTGGGCCCAACATGAGCCTGAATCAATCCGTTTTACATGGGTTGGGTTGCATTTTTAGTCCTTGGGCTCAAGAATTCAGTTTTATTTATTTTTTATTTTTTTACTTTTTGGATTAGGCCCGGGCCTAGTCCTTAGGTAATCTGAACTCAGACCAAGCCTGATCTGACCTTATCCCAACTTGAGCCCAATCCAACTATACACATTCATACATGCATTATACATATATAGATATGCATTTACAGATATACATACATATACATCTACATACTTGCATTAATGCATACAAACATGTATAATTATGGAGCGGGTTCATTGAACAACCTGAGCCCAGCCCAGGCAAGAACCCAACCCAAGTGCATTAAATTACAATATGAGTTTGGATCTCCTACCCATGCCTCACCACAGTGGGAGATATTCCCAATGTACAGTTGTAATGTCATGTGGATAGGAGATCTGAATTCTTACAATACGGGGTTGGGTTTGAGTTGAAAAGGTTGAGCTTGGTCAGGCTCGAGTCTTAGGCCGATATCTTAGGATTGGGCCTAGGTTGACCATAAACCCAGCCCAACCCGCCCAACTTGCACTCCCTATGTCTATGATTTTTGTTTAGTTGTTGTGGTTGCTGTTTTAGTTTGACGTTTTTACTTTTTTTTGAGGAAATCTTTTTGGCTCAGTTTGAAAAGAGTACAAATAAAATTATATACTGTACAAATACAATGTTTTATACTTCAGATAATTGTATTTGCACTCCTAAACTGAGCCTTTAGGCTGTGTTTGGTTGCAGTGCATATTTATTTGCACTAGTACAAATTCATAGGAGTGCAAGTGTAAAAAATGCAAATTCTTGTTTAATTTTGTTTTAGATATCACTTTATTCTGTTTCACGTCTTAATTTACTTCATTTGTACTGCAATTAAACAAAATTAGCTAAAATTTGAAATAAAAATAAGTCAAAATTTACACTCAATTTATTTGCATTGCTATGATTTTGCATCAGTGCAAATTTATTTGCATTGCAACCAAACACAACCTTTATGAAATTTTTAGGGGGTGTTCTTTTTTGTAATTTTGAGAGGGGGGAAAGTTGGTCAATGGTTGGTTCCCATTGACCAAGAATACCATGTTCTTTTTTCAGATTAATGTGGGGACCAAGGAAAGCTTATTTTCCTAGGTATCACTTATCCAGGTAAGTAGTACCCATCTCTTAGGTGGGTAAATAACTTTCCCACATTGGGGGAAAGATTCAAACAATTAAATGGGATAAAAATGTATCATTTAACATAGGATTTTTATTGCTAAAATGGTCATTTTCTTTCTTTTTTCTTGGGAAATGAAAGAACATGGATAAATACACTTACCTGTATAAGTGTTTCCCAAGAATAACTTATCAAAAAGCAAACAGGGGCTTAAAGGTAAACCATGAAAAATACGCTTGTACATAATTGGTTGATATACTTCAAAAGTTTTAATCCAGTCCAAACAAGTGAGATCAATCCCAACCTAATCATAATTGGATTTTTTTAAGACTATCATAATTGATTAATTGCAATTCAAAAGTCAAACTTAGAACAAACCCTATTAACGATCAGGATTCAAATGGTAATCCAAACTCTGGGTAATAGGGTCAGATTGGGTGTGTATCGGTTGACCCGGACTACTGAGAAAGAAGCTGGAATAAATGTTAACAAAGTAAACGTTTCTCACTATTTTCTTATGTGATTAGGGGTGGATTTGTAAATAAAGGTGGAAATAGATTAGTCAATTCTTTAAGGCCCCGTTTGGCATCAACTATGGAAATTCTCATTATCAGAATCCTGAAAAGAATGGATTCTATGAATTTTCATCTAGAGAATTGGTAGGTATGTTTTGCACAATCATCTGAGTTTTTTTTCTGATATTTGGCATCATCTCATTTCTTGGAATCAATTCTCTAGTTGACCATAACTTTTATAATCTGAAACCATTTCTAGGATGATGTTGAAAGGAAAGAACTTGATTGTTGAGCAGTGACAACTTGAAATAAAATTTTCCTTACGTGAAATTGCAAGATTTAAGACCTTCCCTCTCCTAAAAGATGACATTACTAATTAGTCCTTATTTAGAAAAGGCATTAGATGAGTGATTCAAGAAAATGAGATGTTTGAAGAGGAAGCTATGTGGTCAGAGGCAGGAAGCAATAGATATGGATATTAAGAGAGTGGAAAAGGTGACACTAGGATTTATGTAATCTACCCTAAACATTGAACAACACTATCATTGTATCACATCAACATATAACTGAAAATTTCAATACATTTTTCTCAGTTTTAACATGTCATATACCTAAATGAACAAATAACACATTTCTAAGGGGTTATTTGGTAAGCCTTTTTTGAAATATCTTCTGGAAGCTCTAACAGTTAAAAGACAATGTGAATTTTTGCATTAAGATCTTAGCAGTTTGAAGACCATTTGGTTAAGGTGCATATTTTCACATGTCTTTCCGTGCGAAGACAAGTTGAAAAAAAGGCAAAAAGCTTTATTTGGAAATTCTCAAAAATAATTCAAATTGGACTTTCTGTGTCTTTTCAGGGCTGCGACTTCAACAGCCAGATCTTTTCTCAATCAAACAGAAAAAGACCAAAATGTGAGCTGTAGAACTTCTAAAAAACCAACAACCCGTGCAAAAAAACACACCAAATAGAGCCTAAGTCAAGAATAACATGAAAGCTTCAGCTCCATTGAAACCCTTGTTCAAGTACCATTGCCTCCACAAAAAGGCCCTCAGGTATAAGTGCCTTTGACCAAACCGAACACAAAAGTTAAACCAAACATATACAAAAACATGAAT